GTGACTTACAGTGCGAAGCCGTGGCGGATGCAGACGCGCAGTTACCCGACTTTCTTTGGTGCTACATGCAGTTAAAAGGCAGGGACGCTTGCCTTATTGTCTTGGTGTACCGTTCCCCTAACTGTACACCTGAAACCGACTGCCACCTAGCGCCTGCTTTCAGATGCAGTTTACAGCGAAAGTACACTCACATATCATGGGTGATTTCAACGTATATTGTGTAGAAACCCCTGCCACGATCGGAGAACGATTCAAAGCCGATCTACAAGATATCGTAACCACTGTTCCTCTTTACAATCATATCACTGCCCACTCGGTTCAGAACAGGTAACAGGCGATCCGTGCTGGATCTTGTGCTTACCAACGAGGAGCATATGACTGATGTGTTCGTTTTAGACTACCCGTTGGGTCGCAGTAATCACGCAAGCATCAGTTTCAACTTCGTCTGCTATGCGGAATATAGGCATGAGAACGATGAGACTTTGCGAACCATCACAAGCTATGATCGATTAGCCCAGCTCGTCAGCGATACAACTTGAATGTTCCTTGCCGAAGTTCTCCCAGAAGTCGCCTGGCTCGAGTTCGTCAACAAATTCAGGCAGCTAGTTGCAGAGGCTTCAGAAATAATAGTTTGCAATAAGTGTGCTTCAGTTTCTTTCGTTAGGAGCAGAACTCGAAAATGGATGACAGTACCAGACGCAGCATGGCGAATGTACAGAGGAGCTCGAGCACCAGAAACCTGGAACAACTACGGAGTCCAAAGTAACCACTGCACTCAAATGCTAAGAGAAGACAAAGCCGCCTATCAGCAGAAACCTTCGGTGCTAACCATAAACTGCTGTACAAGTACGTCAATAGACTACGAAAGGTGAGGCCAGGATTTCCTTCACTCAGGACGGCTGATGACCAAACAAGAACGATTGTGGAAGCAGCAAACGCGCTGCGAATGCAATATGCCCCCACGTTTCAGAGGGTCTTGCTACCAAGCGATCTTCCAACATTTTTCGTTTCCTCGCCAGGACTAACCCACATCACTTTTCCCGCCCAGGCTGTGTTACAGAAGCTGCCGTCTCTACGCAAACACAGCTCTCCGGGCGCTGGTGCCATTCGTGTAGGGGCATTTGTAGTAGCAGCAAGCCAACTGGCAGGACCTTTAGCTCAGTTTTTCCAGAGCTGCTTGGACCAGAATCAAGTTCCTGCCGTGTGGAAGCTTGGAATATAAGCCCGATTGACAAAGGTGAAAGCGGAACTGATCCCTCCAACTACTGCCCGGTATCCATCCTTCCTATACTCCCCAAGATCATGGAATCCATAATTGCCGATGCACTGGTGTGTTAGCTGGGAAACCGTAGTATCTTCACACCTGAGTGGCACGGTTTCCGCCGACAGTGGTCATGCACAACGAACTTAATAATCGCACGCAGTAGATGGACCGAGGCAGGTGACGCTGGGGAATACGTTGATGTGATCCACCTGGATTTTTCGAAAGCTTTCGATGGTATAGACCATCGGCTACTACTCTCCAAACTCCAGCATTACAGGATCGACGACCCTCTTTTAAGCTGGATTGCAAACTTTCTACTTCAACCGCAATTAGTAGTCAGAGTTCGGAGCTCATTATCGGACCCCATACAAGTCGCGTGTGGTGTGCCGCAAGGCTCAGTTCTAGGTCACGTTTGTTTTTGGTGTTTATAAATGACCTTGCACTGGGAATCGCTTCAAACTTCCTAATGTTTGCCGAGGATATCAAAATTTAGCGCAGGATCCAGGCGAATATCGACTGGCATCTGATTCAGAGTAACCTATAACATTAAATTTTCGGTAAATTGCATGCATGACTCCTGAGTGGAGATTTACAACAATTTGCTGAGAAGGGGCGAATGCCCCGGTATAATAATAATCATTGGTTTTAAGTAGACTTCAAAACTTTGGGCGGAACCGCTTCCATGGTCACCGTGTGTTTGTGTAATCCGACACTGAATGTATGAAATATCAGGTTGCGGGAATCGTTTTAGGAGGACTGGGAGGAAGCTCCCCTCATATATGTATCATATACCATCAGTGATAATCGGAGGGTGGAGAAGCAGATATCCAAGATGTCGAGTTTGGTGAAGCCTAGAGTTGATAAGTATTCCACCGAAGCCGGATATATAAATCCCCGATTGTTTAAGATAATTGGATGGTGGTAAATCTCGCGTGTTTTGATGCGTTATTTCCGGGGCCATATTTGTCGACCTTCAACTGGTGCGTACGCGCCATGCGGTCGGCGTCACAAATTCCGACATCCATGACGTGCACCGATGATCCCTTTACGGTGTATCAATGGTCAACCCAAAACTTACTGCATTTCAACGTCAATAAATGCAAGGTACTTTTCATCCGACATCAGTGCAGCTACTCATACCGGCTCCGAAAGGATATACTGTAACAATCAGCTATCGAACGTGACTTGGATGTCCTGGTTTGGGTTGACTTTGGTTGCTCCAGTCAATCCGAAAAAGCCTCGAAGACTTGGAATCAACACTTCGGGCTGTTGCGACGGGCATCTGGACAAATAAACAGCTCCATATTTCGACAAATGCTCAATGCGTATGTTCGTCCCCATGTCGAATACGCAATTCAAGTCTGGCATCAATGGCTGCACTGGAGCAGCCACAACGTCGGGCATCTAAGAATGTAATTGGAACGGGCAATCTTTCATAGGAGGAGAAGCTACAACGATAGGGGTTATCCAGCGGAAGCTACTGCAGAATACGAGGCGATCTGATTATGGCATACTTGATTCTGCGGGACCCATATCATGTGTGCTGCCCTTTACTGCGACTCAGCACCAATACAACCCTGAGGGCCACTCATTGAAACACGCTGTACAGTATAGCCGCAAGGAGTGCCGCAGAAATTTCTTTTCCATTTGTGTCTGTCACCCGTGGTATGCTCTCCTAAAATCGGTCGTCTCTGCACCGAGACAAATGTAAGTGCGGTGGTTTGTGACAAGTCCCCGCAGATATAGAACATACAATTGGCAAGGTGTCTCGGAGGGTACCGCAAAAGTGTGTCTACGCAAGTCTTCTGATCGAACGCAATACCGTATGATTCCAGTTAGACACCGTTGCTACTGTCAACACTTTAGCAACGAAGCACTGTCCCGGAGTGTGTATTCGATCCGATCAAGATTACCTGCGTAGTGGAATGGTTACAGACTTCATCGGAAGGGCTACGCTACGATCGAAGTGGCTAACCCAAGAGACGGAGCCTCTCATCGACTGGAGTTTATGATCGTGGAAGAGAAGCTCACGCCGCTTTTCGGCATTGATTCGATCCAGTCTCTCGGTTTTGTTGTTTTTAATCATGATCGTTTTGCGCATGTTTGCAGGGAGAAACCGATACTAGTAACCAGTATCCGTCTGTGTTTAGCCCAAGTTTGGGAAAGTTTGCGAGAACCGCTCACTTGTCCTTAGATCTTTTGATACGACCGACAGCGCTACCGGCAAGGAGTTCCATTTGCACTGCGTGACAGGTTCGCCGCTGAACTGAGCAAATTAGTGAGAGAGGCTGGTCACGTTCGATCATCGCTGCCTTCGCAGCTTAACTTATGTCTGGTGGCAGCATCGCGTGAGCAATAAGCGTGTTCGGCGTCGCGTATTTTATGCAGAAGGAGCGAGTGAACCGCTCAACACCGTCATTTCACGCACCAGGCTCCGATGGCTGGGCCACGTTTTGCACATGCGAGCACACCGACTCCCGCGACGTGACTTGTTTGCGCGACGCGGGTGCGGTTGGAAGAGGAGGCCAAGCGATGACTTGGTCGAGAGAAATGAAAATCCTCACTTTGAAGTTGGAGTCGGTTGGTGCACCCCGACTGCCTGGCTGGGGTCCTAAGGATGATGAACAGGTTTGCTTGGACACACTTGCTGAGATGGGTAGGAACCGGCCCCAATAGCGTTTGTGTTGCGCGTTCCTTTGTCCATCCCCTCCCGCTTAGGCTCCCCTCCAATCACGATCTCATTTGTTAGGAGTAATATAACTCTCCGTTTGCGACACGATAGCCGGCTGTTAGCTCTCCGGAACGATGTCTATCCGTTACTTGGGACTCAGCAGCATACCTCTCTTGTTTTTTCTTCTTTGTCTATTGTATTGCGGCAAAATAGCTGAGATGTTTTCCACCTGCAGCTAACGTGTATAATGATAATGATGAGTGAGAGAGGGTGTGATTGCCAAAGTCGACGAGCTAACCGACTGGGTTAGTCAAGTCGTAATCATTACGAAGAAGACGGGCAAACTGCCTGTGTGTATGGACCCAAAACCGTTGAATGAGGTCTTGCGTAGAGAACATTAAGCGATAACTACCCTAAAACAAATTTTGCCGCGTTCGGTCAAGGCAGTGTTTCACGAAGGTACCCCTCTCTTTGGAATTCTGGTGATTCTAAATGATGAACCCAGTTTCCTTACTACCATTGCAACATCGTTCGGGCTTTATCGTTGGTTGCGTTTACCGTTTCGCTTGAAGGTGCCCAGTGGAATTTTTCAAAAGCGATTGGTATAAGCGGTAGACGATTTAGATGGTGTAACATGTGTGGCAGACGATGTTTTGATTTATGGCTAGACAGAAGAATAGCATGACGCTAATCTCCACCGTTTCTTACAGCGTTGTGTGCAAAAGAACATCAAGCCTAAGCGTGAGAAAATTGAAATTCGGAAAGACGAGGTGATTTTCCATGGGCGTTTACTAACAACACGAGGGGTCAGAGTGGATTCAAGAAAGATTAAGGCAATTCGAGAGACGCCGCCTCGTAATGACGTGAAGGGAATCCTTCACTTAAACGGCATGATGAATTACTTGAGCCGTTTTATGCCAAGACTCGCTGATATCATGACGCCGATCAGGAATTTAACTCACAAAGTAAGAAAGTGTATTTGGGGAAAGCACAGGAAACCGCATTCGGAACTATTAAGCACCTCATCAGCAACGCCTTTTTAACTTTTTTCTTTTTGCATTGCAGCGCGATATTCTAAGCGTGTTTCTCACTATCAGCTAATGTGAAACGATGAGGATGACTGTCAAAGAATAGGCAAAGCTCACTAGAACAGTGGGAAGACACACAACACACTTCACCGGCGACTTCCATTCCCCATATGTCCTTCACAGCACACCTATACACTTAGCAGTTCACGCGTAACATGAAAAGCAGTGCCTTTTTCTTGCTCGGTGTGTCTCTATGGGCACAAGCTTCCCTGGCCAAACCGAGCGCCAGTTCGCTCAGAGGTTTTATTTCTTCAATTGCTAGTTCTCTTCCCAATAAAATAGACCCATAACTTACCAACTCATTAGGCTTTAAAGGATAACAAACTCGAGTATTACATCCGTACCAGACAAAGTGCGTGTGTACAGATTACTCAACATAAATCTCTTCGAAGGAATTTTTGCTTGACATTGGTAAGTGTAGTATGAAACGAAATCTTGAGTTAAATCGTTTTGTTAGATCAATCTCACTGCATGCGATCCCGGTTGAACTGATCTCGTCCACTTCTAGCTCCGAATCACGGCGGAAACCGGAAGTCAACATCTGCAGGCAAAAGTACGCTGTAATAACCTTTACCGAAACGTGTAAAAGTAGCGAAAAATCAATGGACATTTATAGGTCAAACTACGTCAGCTGCAATGACTGGTAGTCTAGTTCCCCTTGACAATGGGATGGACGCGAATGGCTTTTAAAAAGCTTTATGCTTCGGTTGTAAGCTATTGGCTCATATCGTTTTCTTAATGAGACAGCGATTCCTCGGGGAAGATCTTAGTTTCGCCCGGACGTGTTTAAATTCGAATTTCATAACATAACAAACGAATTCCTTAGGAACGTACATGAATGGATCTGTAATGCAATTCCTCCTGAGGAGACCGACGAACATTCCGGTTCTAGCAAACGCCTAGAATCTCAATTCCCTCTTTCACCTGGATACTTTGCTGCTGACAACGAAGGGCTTGAGCTCTGCGAAGGAGTGTAATGCAATCTCTCATAATTTGCGCAAAAAATCACAGTTCCCTCTACTAATGAGTACGCGGAGCGATATGCATATAATACCGATCAAATAGGGGTTACTATCCATTAAAACTGTAGTTAGATATATTTCTGCACAACCACTGATCGGAATGGAAACATTGACTCGTGTCATGTACAATGAAAGGAATACGAAATGGGTCCACTCCTCACCATAAGCCTGCACAAATAGAAAGCGTCAGTGAGGGAGGCGCCCTACAACCAAATAATCCAACAGGGATCAAACCAGGACTCTTTGGATACAGCCTGGTAAATGCATAGTAAACAATAAATGAAGTAGTAAAACAGAAGAGTTTGCGATAGATCCTTTCAGATAAGGTGCTAAGAGAAACACTTACCCGAAGAGAACGCAAAATCTCACAAAATAAAGACAATGTGATATAGGAATGAAATAAGAAAGAAGTTCGGATGTCTTTATACGGCAGTCGCGAAAACTGTGGAAAAACTCACAATGATGTCTATCAATAGGGTGAAAGAAACAGAGTCAAAGTATTGACGTTTGAGAGAGCTCTATTGAGTCACGTTGGGCTGATCTGATGGTTTATGGCACTGTGAGGCGACGGAACGAATCTCCTCAGCCAGGATCAGTAGCTGGTGCAATTGTGCATCGGAGAAATGGTCCAGGTTTGATTCTTGGATTGCCTTGCCTATAGGAGGGCAGGTCCCTTTCACACTGCTTTGGTTCCGTGGCAAATCACGTACCTGCTTTGCGAGTTCGATGGCGTAGTTCTGATGGGGGAAATAAAGAAAACATGAAGTTGAAAAAGAAGCAAAATGAAGTGATCGCCAAGCAGTTCCGCATGCTGAACAACTTGAACAAAGAAAGTACTTTTACGTCCTGACAATCTATCCTCATCAGCGTCTCCAGGAAAAGATTATACAATTATATTACTTTAGTCTATAATGTCTTGTATTGCGAGAAAATAGTTGAGCTGTGTTTCTCATCCTCAGCTAACGTGTATTGAAGATGATGATGATCGTCTTTAGGATGCAGCCTTGGGCCACTGTTATTTACTGCGTTGAGAATGCTCCACTTGAAGGGTCATGTCATCGTTTTGGTTCGTTCATGGCCCAAAGGGAATCAGCAGTACACCGATACGCAGTACCGACGATGCGCTGCCGCGCAACTACCACCAGTCGCACGTGGGCTAAGGATACTGCGAGGGTCGCCCGGTCCCATACGCAGGCGCGAACTCGCGCCCTCGGATCACAAGGCAGGCTTGTGATGCTTAAGGCCACCGCCCGGTATGGCTCAAAGCTGAAAGCTCGTAAACACCCCCCGGGAGCTCTGGGATAACGCAATCAGCCACAGATCAGTTTTCAGATTGACATGCCCTACAGTTAATGCTCATAAGTCAAGTAAAGCATGTCGTTTATTGCGTTGGAGCAAATTGGCCAATCAACGAGATATATAGCTGGTGGAAAATAAATCACCATGACACTCAATGTGCAGGCAACCGGAAAGACGTTGCGGTGAGGAGCCCCATGAGTTGTGGCTAATTTGATGATCCCTCAAATGCTTAACGGACGACACATTAATAAAACTTACCGCAGGCCTTCGTGCAACCTCCTCTGTAATACTGCTTATGGTCTGGGACAGAATACAGGAGTGAGGACCTTGACAAGTTGGTACCAGGTGGGTTCAGGACATACGGCGGCAGACGAATCATGGCCAATTGTTCAGCTTAGATATGTCGGAGAATTTGGAGGAGTTTAATTCAAACCCAATGCGTTCACACACTGGACCTCGATTGGGACCTAGCTTTGTTTTCACTGCTACATCATGAAACCACACAAGTCAGAATGGAACAAAATACTATCGCACAGAGTGGGAACTCGAGTGTAAAAAAGAAGTCAGGATATTTAATGCTGGAAACTTCTGGGTGGACACGTCTAACGTTTCCATCCTGCTAATGGATTACTGCCGTAAAATTTCAATTTCCCTCCCTATATCCTTTGTCATGCTGTGGCGTTATCATTCGTGTAAATGGTGTTTTGCTCATTGCCGTCCCCTTTGGATCATTGCCCTGTATCTATTGTTAACTCACGTTGCAGGTAAAACAGGGATTTACAGTAGCAACAGTTTGAACAAGGTGCGATCTACGAACCTTGTTATAGGTACTGTTTACAAATTCCTGGTTCGATCATCCACTCAACACAGAAAGTCCCAAGAATTCTCGTTGATCGCTCAAGTCTCAGTCAAAGTTGAAGTTCGGCTTTCAACAAAGGGACAGATGGTTAACAAAAGTACAGAACTACAGCAGAATTACACCTATGTGGCGACCGGACGATTCCCCTAATCACTTGAGGTGTGACAGTAGTACTCTGTCAACAGATTTAACTCTTCACGTACCCAGGGAATCTAAAGTGTCTGTCTGTGTTCGCATGCATGCGGCGCTTCGAATAGTTCGCCACACATTTGCGCCATTCTTGGGTTTGAATCACGCTAGTCTTTCTCCGTGCCACTGATTCGAAGAGGATCCCACAGCTAACATGGTGCATCGGTGTCATCGTAGCAGTATCTTAGATATCTGTACATAGGCCATGTTAATAAAATATTTGAGTGCTAGCCCCTGGTAGTTCTTATTTAGCAACAGTGTTGTGGTGATTGATTGCTTTTGCGTTGCACTAAATCGGTAAACCACGTCTATGTCATTACACCTGTACAGTTTAGGCAGCGCATCCAAGAAAAACAAAAATCCAATTAGAGACAAACTTACGCTCCATTCAAACAAAAAACGGTCCATAAACTCGGGTTTATCTTTGTGCTTTCTAAACTCCTCACGGACATACCGATTGCCAAATTCAGCCAATTGGGAGGGTAAAGCACGATGCAATTTTAAAATGGTCTTGTAGAGAGAACGCACTCGCTGCGATTGAGCGAGAGACAAAAGTCCGGAGCTGGGACACATAACTAAGGATCTGGATATGTCTGTCGGAGCTGTGAATGTCGACGAGAGTCAAATGTTTGAGACCCGTAAATTCGTGACCAACAATAGACGACGACGGCAAGTTAGAAAGACATCGGCGCTGACAACGAAAAATGAAATAGATGAGTACCAGTCAGAGGACAATCGTCAAGTGGATGAGAAATCAGTGTGACAAATAAAACAAAACAGGTATATAATTTGTTGGGAAAAGTACGAGAAGAGCGAACGGCATGATGGTAGCTCCGCAAAGTTTGTTTCCAAAACGAAATTGAAAGGTTATATAACAACGGATAAGCATCAGATAGGCGTTATTAAATAAGGCAAACAGGAAGAGCTAAGTATAATACAAGGAAGAAAGGAACCATCTAAACAGCTAAGTAGCAGGACACTTACAGATACGGTATGCGGTTACGATGCACAAAATATCACTAGGGATTTTAAAGTTATATATCAACTTCTGCAGATCTTCTTTGTACCGCTGTAAACCTATCAGGTCCCTTTAAAGGCGATGTTGCTTTTGATCTGCTGACCAAGAAAATTTCCAGTGCTGTGGCTCAAACCTTCCCGGCCGCCTGCCCACACGTCCTTGAAGAAACCGCTCCCTTTATTGCCCGAAGCGTCCAAGACAGATTTCCCGTCCAGTCCCAATCTTACATCCTATATCAGTATACTTGCGTCTGTGATGCGAGAAACCCTGGACACACAAGCAGATGTCTGTTTAAAGGCATAGCGGAGCTCTGCCCAGTGGCTTTGTGGAAAGGCATCGTCAGTCGCACCAGCAGTTTCATCTTGGAACATCTGGTTGAAAGCGGACACCAAAGTAAGACCACTGATGCCTTCAAAGTACCCTAAAGGCCGTAGAAAGCAAATCTTACAAACGGCCGAAGCGATCGCGATTAGAATGATACAATCGGAACAATGCAAACAAAAGACTTTGCTGTAAGGAGTTTTTCCACCTTGGCCCTAAGTAGTTTGCTATGGACGTAGCGTCTAGTGAGAGGATTCATGACCTTCGGAGGCTAGCCACTGTCATCTGTTAGGGTGGTGACCTGTGTGGCAGTGGAAGATAGGTCGTACTACATGCTAGTTAGCTTGTAAATTATGTAACTCAGCCGACGTTCCCCATGGCTCATTGGCTCAAGCTGCTGGTTAGTTGGCATCTGCCTCTAACGGTCTTGGGTCCGATCCCCAGTAGGGGACCGAGGGAATGCACACCACTGACGAGGCCCAATGGGGCGAAACACGTCTGACGCTTATCCGGACTAGACTGTGCTATGTAGCTTGTGAGGTACTGGGATGAAAACATTAAAATTACAGCACCTGCTCTGTCACATGAGTAGTTAGCCGACTTTATCGACCAAAACTTTTGAGTTTCTAAGTCAAGAATTTCCTTGTTGATTGAAAGTGGAGGGTCCAGGTAGACAACCATTTAACCGACTGGTATCCATCGAGCAGTGGCGTGCCCCAAGGCACTGTATTGAAGCCGACTTTTTCTGATCCATGTAAACGATGTGTCTGAGCTACTTCAATCATCATGTGTGTTGTTCGCGGATGACTTGAAGGTGCGGAGAGTAATTCGCATACCCAATGATTGTGACCTACTTCAGCAGGACTTCGACCGCCTCTCCACGTGGTCTGCAGAGGACAACCTTCCAATCAACCCGGTCAAGTCGCCATTCAGTATGCTGCGTAAGTGTGAGCACTGTCGAACCTACACGGTGGCCAACCAACTGTTGCATCCCACGCCCTCCGTGCGAGACGATGTACTCTCACGCTACGACCTAAAGTCAATGGACAACACGAATAGGCTTTACCAAAACAGACTTCGTAAGCTTTGGGCGCTCAGGCACAGCTTCAGCACTTGCTCCAAACAGATTGCCACTCTCCTCTTCGTCTCAATACGACCAATGCTAAAGTATGGCCCTCTCGCGTATTGTCCCATCACCCGGGGCGAGGTAGAAAAGATTGAGCGAGTGCAGCATGCAGCCACTAGGCTGATTCCCAACTTACAAGGTGTGCCGTACGAAGACCGGTGTAAGAAACTAAGGCTGTACACGCTAGCTTATCGTCGACTGAGGGTTGACCTCATCATGACGCACCGGATATTACATTTGGGAGATTACCCCATGTTGAGGCCGCTGTTTCACCTGCGCACACCAAGCAGCACACGAGGACACCGGTACAGGTTTATCGTACCGGATTTGAAGCGGGTCGCTTATCAACTCTGTTTCGAACGCAGAGTGGTGAATGTATGCTGCAGCACGTAGTTGTGGCAAAGTCGGTGTCGGAATTTAAGAAATTCCTGGACAAACACTTTGCCGACATAAAATATATTCAGCGCAACACAAAATGACAGGTCTTTGTCCCTAAGTGACATTAGATGCAGCTACACAGAGCAAACACTACTTGCTGCTTCCAACAAGTAAGCAGTAATCGTGATTCAACTATTTTCCCCTCTTTGGCTACATCAGTTCTTTGCGTTCTCACATTGCAGTTTATAAGTGTAAATACCTGAAAAGAGTGCTCCTCGAAAACTTGTGCTTTTGCACTTCCATGGGTACAAGTTAGGAGGCAAAGCAGATCAAACTACTGAGAAAACACCTCAGTGCAGAAGGTTCACGGCATTTTGATGCGTTGCGTTTGTACGAAAGCACATATCTAAAGGACTGATTTAACGCTCTGGATGACCTTTGGGGACCGTGGCAACGTGTTTTTACTGAGTGCCTATTTTGTTCAGTTACGAAAAGAAGAAGAGAAGTGTTAATGAATTCATTAGTCGTATATAACAGTCGCTTCCTGACTGCCGTTACAATGAAATTGCCGCAAGGAAAGTAGAAGACACGATGGCAATGCAATGCCTTTTGGTTGGCATTCGAGATATTAGAGCTAGAGAAAGTCTGCTGTCAGAAGAGGAGAATAAAGTCACTTGGGAAGCAGCCTGCTTACTGGTCAGCAAAGAGAAAGCGTTGTGCAACAACTAATTCATTAGCGAAGCGCTTCGCCTTCAGATGCCGTCCATGCGGTTAAATCTCGACTATCACCCACCAACAAATGTTTCTTTACATGCTACAGATGCGGTGAGAAGCATGAAAAGGTTATTGATTACCGACACGAACAGTCTACTTGTCACAAGTGGGGAAAGGTCGGACATAGTGCACGCGTATGCCGTGCGACTGTGGTTCAACGACCGATACTGCGCCCTGCCCAGAGTACTGTTCAAACTGTGGACAACGCTGAATATCCCATATTCTATCTAATTTTGCACACAACCACATCGCACGCAATGGGAATACCCCCGTACACTGTTGATTTAAACATTGAAGGCCAGCCAGTACGCCTGGAGATCGATAGCGGGGCCTCAGTTACATTGATAAACAATCGAACTTTGCCCGACCTGGTTCTGACTCCGACTAAAACTAAATTACCATCATACACCGGGGAAATGCTCGATGTTTTGGGCGTGTGCCGTAAAAGTAAATCATGAGGACAATACCCTGACTCTCCCTCTAACTGTTGCAAACACAGACGGACCGAACCTACGTGGAAGGAACTGGTTAAAATACATGCCGGAAATATTACAATCTGTCAAGAAGGTGGACAGTATTACTGACTTACCTGCAAGTTTAAAAGCATTTCCCACTGTTTTCGATACAAACATGCCTGGGAAACTACGTGAGTTTAAAGCTTGCTTGAATATCAAGCTACAGACTCAACCGAAATTTTACAAGGCACGGAGTCTACCTTTCGCAATCTGTCCGAAGACAGAGTTAGAGCGATTACAAAAGGACTGAATAATTTCACCCGTACGCCACTCTTCCTGGGCTGCACCCATCGTTCCTGTACAGAAGCCTGATGGCTCAGTTCGTATTTGCGGCGACTATAATCTGACGGTCAGTCAGGCGACGATGACGGAACTTTATCCGATTCCATGGATAGATGACCTATACTCAAGATGGTCGAGTGGACAAAAGTTCTCGAAACTTAAGTTTAGCAAGGCTTGTTCTCAAGTGGAGTTACAGGAATCCTCAAAGGAAAATGGTTGGCGGCATCGGTTTCGGATTTGTCTGTCACTGTGGCCAGCCACAGGACGTCTGCACCAACAGAGGGACCATGGGTGGTTTGCGCTGCACCACCCACAGCTCCAACCACACACCCCATATCCAGTGTAAACCCGAAGGAATAAGACCGGGAGGCATGAGCATGAGGGGCACGTTTCACCAACGGAGCCGGTCTACACTCCTTCACATGCAAACACAAGCACCAGTATTTGGGAATCAAGCGCACACAAGGCGGTGGCTGGACCGTGGTCCGCTCCACACTCAGTGCATGGTACCACTCTTCGAGCCTAGCACGGCCACAAGGACCGTGCACCACGTCAAGTCCAGCAACGACCAATTGTCTCCTGGAGCCAGTGTGGACGAGGTGATGGGTAATAGACAGGTAGGCATCTTGTCAACATGCACATTAAGCGCAGCCACACCGAGAATGTCAAACAACAATCACTTAAAACGACGATATCAAAGAAGATAAATCGAATAATGGATACAGGCACGGTGATATAACTCTACACTAAATGAGCGTATAAAATAAATTGGTGACGAGGAAATCCGCGATAAGTTCAAGACGTCAGAAAAAATACTTTAAGAAAATGCCACAAACGCGAAAACGTTATCGAAGATAACTACAATTAGTGTAAGCGACGTGTGCAAGTTTATAGAAGACAGTTCATGTAGACATTAACACGAGATAAAAAAGCATTAGGACAATATAGCAAACCCACCACCTGAAATAGAGACCCAGCATGTAAGCACGCGGTTAGTAAACCGAATGCAGCATACCTAAAAACGCTGTGACTGTTCTGCCTACGTTCTCTTCAGGACCTGTCGTCACTTTGTTGGTGGCCCCGAGTGGCACGTGGCTCACTAAGCCTGCGTGGCTCATGCACTCGCGACCGCATGTGCTACAGCAACATGCGCTCGATG